AATAAAAAAGGGTAATGATTTCCCCACTCCAATTTTATTCACTTACACTCCTTTTTTAGTTATAAAATGGAGTGTAAGTTGATAAAATTGGAGTAGGAAAATCACCACTTATAAAAAATTGAATTCAAACTAATTAACACTCCTTTCGACCAAAAAAAACTAATTAACACTCCTAATGCAATCTTTTAAATTTAAAATAAATCTAATTCGAAAACACAACTGATCAATGATTTTCAATCACATATATTACGTCAAAAGAAAAAACAAGAAACAAAGACCTGCTTAATTAACGAAGAGAGAGAGAGAGAGAGAGAGAGAGAGAGAGAGAGAGAGAGAGAGAGAGAGAGAGAGAGAGAGAGAGAGAGAGAGAGAGAGAGAGAGAGAGAGAGAGAGTTACATCGGAGAAGCTGGAACTCGTAGTACAAGTAGACCACAAGACAGCTACGACCTATATATTTACGGGAATAAGAGAAAGGCTTTCTTGCAGTAATGTTGAACCCAAAACAGAAATAAGATCACTGAGAGCGTAAACAAGGTTTCTCAACTTATCTTGTTTATAGACTTCTGAGTCAACTTGTTGGTTCTTTCTTTATTCTTGAGAAATCAAAACTCATGCTGCCAGCTGCCGATTGTCTTTTCATATGCAGTGCACATGCAAAGGTTTGCATCAAAATCATATATATATAGTCTCCTTCTATTGAGGGATCTCTTAAATAATTTTATTTGAGGGACACTCTTTAGGGTACCCTACGAATTTTTTTCCAATAATCCAAACTATCTATTTTTTAAGTCTACATTCTATTTTAGGGATCCCTCAATAGAAGCTCTATATATATATATAATTATTTACGCTAACACTTCTTCAATAAATAATTGGGTAGTAGGTTAATTTTAGACTTCTTTCACTCTAACATTATTATTGAAATTTAAGGATAAATTAGTACTATAAAAAATACTCGTGCTACAACCTAATACTTTTTGGTCATTTTGTATCAGGATAAATTAGTATCATTGAAACAAGGCCACCACTTTCTTTGTCTTTGACAATTTGCAATTGCCAACAGTAAGTAACCAGAACCTAAATTTTTTCTTTTGATAGTTCTCTTTTGAAATTTAAGGAAATGAATTCAACTCAGCCAAGATTTTGAGCGAAAAATCTCATATTTCTTTTAGCTAAGGCAATAACAATGTAAAATATTGGGTTGATTTTCGTCCAAGATGGAAACTTGTACTCCAAAATGCTTTTTTTTATTTAGTTGTTGACCAATAAAACTTACCTATAATGGGGATAGCACTGGTTTGCTATCCCCGGCTAATAACACCATGACATATTGAAAAGTTATCCTACATGTCATTGCATTATTGACCATGAATAGCAAAAAGTGTTATTCTCATTGCATGAGAGTTTCTCGTTGTTAACAATAAAGTTTCACCATTGATGGACTCACCTAGCAAATTGATGAATGAATTGAGAGTACTATGTAGATCAAGCAGAGGAGACAACAAAAAATCTACTTTGACTTGTCAAAAACGAACCATTTTCAAATTTCCACAATTAATTATTTGAGGTTTGGTTGTGGATGGATACTATAAATTTTGAACAACAAGCATTTTTTCTTTCTAATTATATCTTTAACTTGCAGGAAACCATTACCGGGAGACATCAAGGGAAAAAACAATCTAAACGAACCCTAAAATTAATTGAGTACATCCTAATTCTTTTTTGTCATTTTATATTAGAGTAAATTAGTAATTTAATAAATAATTTGGTACTAGGGTATACTCAGTTAATTTTAGACTTCTTTCACTCTAACATTATTATAGGTTCATTTCGCATTGTATCGCATCATAAAGATAATCGCATCCTATTTATTTATTTCTGCATCGATCAACTGGGCAATACCTACTTGGCAGCTGTCTGATGTGAGTGTCTAATGTTTAAAAAGCAAGTCGTCTTTTTTTATTTTTATTTTTTATAGGAGAGTCGTTTTTTATATTTTTTTGTGTCGTTATTTATTCTAGTATTCGATCGTCCTAAGCAAGTAAGCATGAATTTTTAATAATGTAGCAAAAATAAACAATTAACATAGTGTTTTGTTTTAGTCGTCTTTCAAATGTGAAAAGGTGGACTGCTCGGTCTTTGTTTGTTAATGAGGTCTCTAGGTCGTTCATAAAGACAAAGTCGTTTTTTAATTCCTATTTTTCATGAGAGTCGTTTTTTATTTTTTTCTTTAGGGTTCTTTCTTTCCATAGGTAAATTATTCAATGCAATGTACTTATACTCAATACCAATATATTTTGCCATGGTCCCTGATCTACCATGGACAGTGGCGGTTCCAGCTATGGATCAGCGTAATTCTTTTATGTCATTTAATATTGAGCATATAAGTAAACTTGCCGAGAAATTTTATCCTGCTGATTTCCTTCCTCAGGAGTTGAAAGCTTTAGAAGTAGAGCTCAAGTATTTTCAAAATGATATAAAACGCCTTCCATGCTTTAAGGAAATCACTACTCTTCCTCAGTTATGTCAACAATTGGTGGAAACAACTTTGGGGGAAAACTATTATTTGATTGACACAAGTTGATTCGGTTGGTGTTGACTCTTCCTGTTTATACAGCAACAATGAGGAATTTAAGAGTTCTAAGCCTCGTAGGGTTAAATTTTAGATTTAAATAGTGTTGTTTTGTATTGCATTGCATCGCATTTACTTTTTGTTTTTATTTTAGTTTTTGTATTTGTAATCTACATTTTAGGGTAAGGCTCATTACGTCCCCCCTTACTATGTGTATCTTTTCATGTTTATTAATGAAATTCACTTGTACCGTCGAGTTTCTTATATAAGTTTTGCCCGGTCGGCTTTCGAATCCTGGAACCGCCACTGACCATGCACGTGGGCTCTACCTTCACTACTACAAAAATTGAAATAGACAGTGGATTCTCGTCATCTATTTCAATTTTTAGTCGTCTAGAAGGTTTTCAAACCGTTGTGAAATCGACCGCCATCTTTTTATATATAAAGTAATGAAGGCAAATAACCGACGTCTTTAAGACATACAACGTCATACCAAAATACAAACTGACGTCTAATTACTATATAAATAGCAAAAAAGGAAAACTTCAACAACCTTATACGACTGTTTTAGGAAAATAGAGACATCTAAAAACTGTTACATGTCAAGAGCTACATCCATGCCGACGTAAAAAAAAAGTTATCCACATCTTTATTTGAAAAACTACCGTCGTTTATAACGTAGAAACCGTCGTGGTTAATATATACTACATTCACTAAATAAAAAATTAACTACGTACACCCTAATTAACTATCAAAAATACCCTTACTACACCCTAATACTTTTTGGCCATTTTGTATCAGGATAAATTAGTATCATTGAAACAAGGCCACCACTTTCTCTGTATTTGACAATTTGCAACTGCCAACAGTAAGTTACCAGAACCCAAATTTTTTCTTTTGATAGTTCTTTTTTGAAATGTAAGGAAACGAATTCATATCGGCCAAGATTTTGAGTGAAAAATCTCATATTTTCTTTTAGCTAAGGCAGTAACAATGTAAAATATTGGGTTGATTTTTTTCCAAGATGGAAACTTGTACACCAAAATGGGTTTCTTATTCAGTTGTTGACCAAAAAAACTTACCTATAATGGGGATAGCAAAATATAATGACATGTGAAAAAGTTATCCTACGTGTTATTGCATTATTTGCCATAAATAGCAGAAAGTGTTATTCCCGTTGCATGAGAGTTTCTCATTTTTAACAATAGGGCCTCACCATTGATGGACTCACCTAGCAAATTGATGTATGAATTGAGAGTACTATGTAGATCAAGCAGAGGAGACAACAAAAAATCTACTTTTGACTTGTCAAAAACCAACCATTTTCAAATTTCCACAATTAATTATTTGAGGTTTGGTTGATGATGGATACTATAAATTTTGAACAACATGCATTTTTTCTTTCTAATTATATCTTTAACTTGCAGGAAACCATTAGGCAGGAGACATCAAGGAAAAGAAAATCTAAACGAACCCTAAAATTAATTGAGTACATTCTAATTCCTTTTTGTCATTTTACATTAGAGTAAATTAGTAATTCAATAAATAATTGGGTAGTAGGTTAATTTTAGAC